CACTGAGGCCTATCTGTAGCCAAAATATGAAGTCGAAAGCTCGGAATCAGTTGGATATGTTCCCTCGTTAGATTAGAAGAATAACTGTGAAGAAAATAGAGTTAATTTTCCTTATGAAACGAGAAATCATGTGTTTGATTGATATCAAGGTTTCGATACTCCATCGATTCTTTTCCGATCGATGAGCATTGAACTTCGATCAATAAACTTCAAATCTTGAATGCTACTACTGGTGTTTTGTTTATCAAGCGGTGATAAAAGTGAGATCGACTCATTATACAAATAGTTTCATTTTATTTTTATTGTTTTTTTCTTATTCACCTTATCACGAGTCGTTCTTTTGTGCATGGTAATTAGGTGACGTATGATCTTTTATTCAAACAATTTATTTTCATTTTGCCCTTGGTACTTTTGTTTGTCTATATATATCTTTGCTTCCCACGGTTGAAACTCATTTTTCTGACTGTGAAAGATAAGAAGACATGTGTATCTTCGACAAGGTTGTTTTTAATATCATAACATTGAAATTTTATTCAACATACTTCTCGGCGAAGGAAATCAATTGACAGGATCGAACACGTTTCCACCGACAATGATCTTCATAGTGAAAGACCAAACTGATTCGAATCAAGTTCCGTCTACTCAAGAGCAGGGTAAATTAATCGACTCGATATGATATCAGATTTCAAAAAAGTAGAACTCGTAACAATATCTAAGAACTTCTGTATAATCAATAAGACTCATGTTAGCATAAAATCCATGAATCATCGGTAGAAATCTATTAAGTCCAAAACTTCATGAGAGTTGATCATAATTTCTAAGCCATAACTCTGAAAATATCTGCATTAGGTTTTTTCACTGACTTTTTTTTCGGAAGTAGAGTCGTATTGATTCGACAAAGGTTTTCAAATAATTTCAAGTGAATTTTTCATATGTATCAACTTGCTTTTTCTAGGCAAGATTTCAGCTTACTTTTTTTTTTCAAAGAAGAATGCATCCTCTTCAACGATAATGAGCATTTTTTCAACTTTATGTTATTAAGAAAGTTACATACAAAGTTTATCACAACTAAAGACTGTTATTACACAAAGAGAGAGAGAATTAAAAGAACCGACTGAAAACGTCATCCAGATAAGATAAAGGTCCTACTTTAAAAGGCAAACGAAGTATAAAGTCTAACATCTATTTTTTTTTGTTCGTTGAATAACAAACATGTTAGGTTACAGATGCCACAATATCAGTGCACCAAAGCACTACCAGAGGGCTCAGCGGCTGTTATAATACGATTCGTGACGTTGAAAAATGCGATTCCTTGAATAATGTCTTAAAACTTTCGAGTTTGGTCTTTTTCAGCAAGTCATTCATAGATTCGAATTCCTCGGCCCCGAAAAATTTGATCAAGTTTTATAATAAATCGCTATTTCTTCAAAATAGGCTTTTCCTGATCGAAAAGTCGAGCTCAGTGAGTTTTCACTACTTGGTAAAAGGTAACATACTGTTGGATGGACACGTCACTCTTCGGAATCACTATACACTGCTAGTCTAAATACGAATGGTCGAATTCCTGTGAATTTCACGTAATTCCGGAGATGAAATCACTCAAATCAGTAATGGTGAACTGTTATTCGAGTTCAGTGTATTTTTCAAAATTGCGACAAAAATCAGTTTTAAGCTTCGAATAGCCTTCATAAATGGTGAGCATCGTAGACTAGGACAACTTCTCCTTCTCAGAATACATTCAAGGTTTTTTCCAACAATTTTATATAACTAATTGTATCACCTAGGTCGCTCTTTTATTATATCACATATGTTTACTCTTCGATCCCTATTGCTAAGAACTAAGATACACAAGCTGCTCTAAACTCGTATGAACGAGAGTCACATATCTCAGTATGCACCGAGCCTGAATTTTCCTGGGTCAGCCATTTCTAAGTTTGACTATTCCATGAAGCTAAGAGTTTCAGATTCTCTCAGTCACATATCTTTAACAATAATAATAAATATCTTGTAGGCCACTTCAAGGAGAAAATGTAGATCTTAAATCCTAGAATGCTAAAATAGATGAGGCATACAGGGACGTGGGTGCGGAATTTCTACTTCTCAAAACCCCAAATCCACTGAATAAACGTACCAGTGAAAATCATAATCTGCTCAGATGCTTCCTTTTTTTCTTACCGAATGATAGGCCAAATCTACTCAAACTGATACATTTACATCTTTGTAAATGTTGCCAGACAACTCATCCTCAGATTAGGTGATTCTTTGCCATAGTATATGGGAGATTTTACAAGAATGTTTTGATATCAAAAGAAACAAAACATGTGTTATTGGGAAAATTAGTTCTTATTCATCGAAAACATAGCTGTCTTTGACAACGAAAGTCGTGTACTACGCTCCGACCTGAACTTACAAGATGTTTGAGTCAATCGAATTTGTGAAACGTGTACTTTAAAACTATTAAGTCATAAGCATATGATTTCAGGGAACATAGATATAATCTTGTTCCTATGTTCTTATTGCATAGAGATAAAGTGTTGATTGACATATATGGATCCGGTTTGATATGAGTCATCCAGCAAGAGCATTGAGTAGATCATGAAATTATTTTTCTATATATCTTCAGAGAGATTCATTTCAGATATAGACTATTTTAGATATTTCTATAATATATATTACATAATTCTACTCATTTTCGTACAAGAGAAATGGCAGCAGTAGCTGAATCAAATCCATGTTCAACGTGTACAAAGCCATCAGCTAAATTTTTATGCGTTGGATGTGATAGATATTTTTGTTCGAAACATTTCAAAGAACATGAACAAAAACTATCCACGAAATTTGACCATGAAATTGTGAAATCGCACGATGAACTACTCGATCAACTTCAAAAGTTAGAAAAATCGAATTATTTGTCATCGGATCTATTCGCTCAAATTGAAGAGTGGCGAAAAGCAACAATCGACAAAGTAGACAAAGCAGCAGAACGAGCTCGTCAAGAACTTACTGAACTACTCGACAAACAAAAAATAACAATAGCGAAACAACTTGAACCAATTACAAAGGAAATTCATAGTCGTCGAGATGAAGATGATTTTGTCGAAAGTGACATTCATCGACTTCGACAACAAATCAATGAAATCCAACGATCAATTCAACAATTAATTCGAAAAGACACGACGAAAATCATCATTGTTGACAATGATAAAATCGATTGGAATCGCCTTATCTACGCTCAAGGAGAACAACAAAAACGTGAGTATATTAAACTGTAGATCTTTGCCCTCATAAAAGTCGATTTTCGTCGAAAATCTAAAACTGAAATAAATGCATAGGAAGATAATCCGAGATCTGATCTTTCATACAAGACAGAACTATTTTTTTCGCACTTCGTTTTCTTCATAAATTTTCATCATTTTCTGCTTGAAAAATATGCTTTTGGAAAATTCATCTAGTGCGGTATCGATTTATGAGGCAGGTAGGAGGCGTTAAACTAGATGCGAATGAGCATATTATTAAAGAAGAATTCAGTTCTATTCGAATATGGTATCGTGGAGTGTTCTCTGTTCGAGTGAGTCATTAGCCACACATATTTCAAAAATGAATATTCATATCAAGTGTTTGAAATCTCTTGTCGCATTTGTGAGACTATGAATGATCAGAAACAGTTAACAACGTTTTTTCATTTAATATTTACTCATAAAGCGAATGTTCATCTGGTTGATTCTGTGAAGACCCAACTGGAAGACACTTTATGAAATGTTTCTCTAAAGCTTTGATCGTACGTTCTTCTAAAAACATTTCTTATTTCATCATTGCAATAATGGAAGAGAGGAGCCCGATTCAATCGATTTCTATCCGAATTCAATAGTGACTCACATCGTCTATACTTATTTTCGATAACTCTCTGTTCAAAAATAAAGGAATCTAGCGAAATTTTCTTCAATCATTCTGATGATCAACTGTGACGCTTTGGTCTCGACTCGATCAGTCGATACTTTGTGATCTTGGTTTAACATGGTACCTGAGATCTCAGATATTGGAAAACCTTAATCTTCTGTCTCAAACTAAAGTTGTATCTTGGGTAGTATACAAAGAAGACATAGAGTAACATCATCTGAAGAACAGAGAAAATAAAGAGGCCACTAATCAATCAAATTGACTAGGTCGTATTTGATTCATTTTCAGTCTTCGTTCGACATGATCACTGAGTAAAATTACTCTTTCTCTCTCTCTCTCTCTCTCGATCAAAGCCCTTTCCTTTGAATACGGCTCTCCGTCAGAATACATTGATCCAATGTCAATGAACAAAATTGTTTTTAGTTTCAGTACCATTTCTACGCAGTGAAAATGTGAATGCGAATGTTAAATGGATACAGAATGGTGTTACAGTGGCTGGAGGAAACGAGCATGGCAATGACATGAATCAGCTCTATCATCCATGGGGCTTGTGTGTTGATGATGACCAAACCATCTACATTGCTGAATACTCGAATCACCGTATTATGGAATGGAAACCTGGTGCAACGAGTGGACGAGTTGTAGCCGGCGGAAATGGACAAGGAAACCATCATGACCAGTTGAACTATCCAACAGATGTAATACTTGATAAAGAAAATGATAGCCTCATCATTTGTGATTATAACAATAAAAGAGTAGTTCGATGGCCTCGTCAAAATGGTACAACTGGAGAAACGATCATCTCAAATATTGGATGTTTAGGCTTGACAATGGATGACGATGGATTTGTCTATATTGTTGATCACGATGAACATGAAGTCAGACGATATCGCATGGGAAAAAATCATGGAACTGTAGTGGCAGGTGGAAATGGACCAGGGGATCGTCTTGATCAGTTGGATTATCCGAGATACGTTTTTGTTGATCGAGATCATTCAGTATACGTATCAGAATATACCAATCATCGTCTTGTGAAGTGGGTAGAAGGTGCGAAACAAGGCATTGTTGTAGCTGGTGGTCACGGTCAAGGACATGGTCTTACAGAATTATCAAACCCTTACGGAGTTGTTGTGGATCAGACAGGCACAGTCTATGTGGCTGACTTTTCAAATAATCGAATAATGCGTTGGACTCAAGGAGCTACACATGGAAGTGTCATCGTTGGTGGAAATGGTCATGGAAGTCAATCGAATCAACTTCATGGTCCCATCGGTTTGTCATTTGATCGAGAGGGTAATCTATACGTGAGTGATAACGGAAATCACCGCATACAAAAGTTTAACATTGATCGAAGTTAATGATTTTTTTAAAAATTTGACATTGCTTTAGCGTGCTTATTATAGTTTTAAACAATTGATTGAAGAATAAAGTCATTTCAAATCGGATTAAACTATTTCAATCTGAAGACCATCAAGAAGCATATAGACTAAAGTTATTTTCTGTCAATCTTTTTCAAAGATTTCTCTTTGATTTATTCTCAAGGTATTCGTATATTTTTTTCTTCAATCGCAATCACATCCACAACCTGTTTTCTGAATTCTTTGTATGTTTTATTAAATAATCTAATTCTAATCACAATTCGATCAATATTTGTTCGTATTAAATGGAGAAGCGCTGATTCAAATTGAAAAATGCATCCTACGATGGCATTTGTATTTATAGTACAACTACCATGATAGCATATCCAAGCCATTAAAGAATACTTCAAACGACAAACATCGATAGATCCGTGTTTGTATAATTTAATATTTCATTTTGATCATAACTGAATCGATATATAATTATCTGTCTGCACTCAGTTATTTTCAATACTCTTTTTTTGCTTGCAATAGAAAATGATTGTATAAAGCTTTACAAATGATTAAATAAAAAATCATCCTTCTTCAAATTCAGCTGCTGGTAAACTCAGACAAGATTTTTGTCGAATTTCTTCATTGATTCTTGTTGCATTTTGTTCTAATATTTCCCCCATGGCAATAAGTAAATCAGCAGCATCTGCATCTCCTTCTTCCTTACGGTTTTCCAAATATTCTGTACGATATAGAAGATGATGTTGTGCTCTTCGTTCAAGTTTCTGATGAAGCACATTTATATTGAAAACAAAATCATATCTATTCCATAGTGGCATTCGTTGGTATTCTCTGAGAGTGGCTTCTGTTTGACAATAAACATAAAAAGATTTTCGTGGACATAAGAGATTTCGATAAGTATAAATAAGATCAATTGAAGAATCTGGCAAAAATATATCCATTTCTAAAACATTATTTTGATATGTTTGAAGTATAGTCGTAAATTGAGGACGTGAAAAACAATGACGGAAAAAACTTGGATGAAGAAAATTTCTTTGATCGAAATCTTCCAATATGTTGGACGGACCAAGTAAAGCCAATAATGATATATAATTCATATTGTACGTTGAATTAGTTAATCTAAAATTTTGTTTTGTTATTATGATAAATCAATATTCGTTTAGGTCAATAGCGATAGCTCGAGGGTGTGGGTGTGGGTGTGGGTTATTGTGTCATGAAGACGCTACTTATTACTCAAATATTGAAAATTTCAGTAATCTAATTATCTATTACCGCTCAGAAATTAAAATTTCCAAAAAACATGAATTAACACAGGGACCTTTTTTCTTACTAAGCAAACATATATAAAGTTGCATTGAACACAGTTCCTGTGAAAGTTGTATATTGGTAGCACTGCATGTTGAGCCATAGTCTTGCTTAGACTGAAACATTAACAATCTCGAAAAATCAGAAAAAAGGATCAAAATGATCTCATTTTGATGTAATGAGAATTATCAAATATACTAAATCTCAGAGCAACCGAAACTCTACAGTAATGACGTTCAGACGAATCCTGTATAAATCGATGCACACATCTGTTAGTGTTGTAATATCAATCCGATAAACAATATTCATCAAGTGATATATGAATCCTCCAACCCTTTTAATATTATCAAAATGTTATTTCCTTTATATCATTCGATGTACCACGAGCAACTCTATATAATATCATTCATTGAATTTTCATTTCGACGAAAGTGTTTAATTCCAGTAGCTTCCTTTCATCTCATATATAGGACAAAAAACAATCAATATACCATTTTAGTATTTTTTACTGAAAACAGACAGACATTCATTAAGTTTTATGGATTTTTCATAATACAAATGTGCCTGATTTGAATCACCATTTTCTTTAAAATAGTCTCCAAATTGTTCACAATCTGTTGAATGATCCATTATCCATCCTTGTACAAGTGTTTTCATATTTGAATGAATATTTCGAATTTTTGAAAATGTTTTCAATAGCGTTCGATTATTGTTTTGTTCAATTAATATATTTTCACTTAAATGTAAAACATAAAAATGTTCAATTGATTGCATTGATGATAATTCTTCGAAAATATTTATTTGATTATCAATATTTGACACCAATATTATCAGACAATTATGCTGATTTTTATATTGTTCTAATTGTAAATTAAAAAGAAAATCTTTTAAATTATTGAATAATAATGGCTTTTTATCTATTATTTCATTGACTATGGTCGCTAATTTCAATGCTTGATCGTTAGATTCTGTTGGATAATAAATAAACATATTTTCGATTAATTTATTTTTGGAATCATCTTGTAAATAATTTTCCTTTTCCATTGAATGAATGATTTTTTCACTTTTATTAATCATTGTTTCTAAGTAAGTTTGAAGCTCAATTTCTTTATAAGATGAAATGGAATTTCCACGACAAAGAAGTTTATTGGCCCAATGAAAATAAATTAGCGCTTGCTGAATATCATTAAGTGCATTTTCATTACATAGGTTTTTACCTATCATCATAAAATATATTGCTATATCTCGTGTGAGTGCATACAAAAGATCGGCTTCATGATAATAAATTCGAAGATAATCTTCATAATCGAAAAACCATTCTTCAATTTTAGGCATAAAGATAAATATATAAAATCTTATTGATATTTCACTTTCAGTCTTTTGAAATTCTTTTGGATGTTGTTTATAAATGCGTAGAAAAAAATCTTTTCGAACATAATCAGGTAGAATTAAAAATATTTGTTTATTTGTATTGAAACATTTATCTATAGATTCTAAACATTGTTCTTCATCAGTAAAGAATTGTAATTCACATGGACCTTGAAATTGATATTGAGATTTTGAATTAGTCTTATTTAAATTAAATGTAATAGAATTTCGATCATATAGACTTATTGGATATGGATATGTTGGATCAATAGTAGTAGAAAAAGCTTCTTTCAGATGAACATAACTGTCAGGAACACCAATGTTAGGGTCCAACCATAGAATGACGATTTCATGAGATGACATGACAGCAACTTTTTTTCCTTTGTTCGAAAGTTTCTTTAAATGATCTGAAAACGAACAAAATTCAATAAAAAAATATTCATGCTCAAGTTGAATTGTTTCTTTCCGATTTAAATATAGCATAAGTAGGAAGACTTTTATAGACGATTTCTATAAACGCAAGGAAGAAAATAGTCATGACGATCAATAACAACATTTGTATAAATGCACTCAGGGCTATACTGTTTGATCAAATTATCTTATGACGTGTTTTATATGTTTGTCTTTCCAACTTGCTTTTTTCCTTCTTTCCAACTTACCAGGTAAAAAAATTGCAAACCAAACAATACCTTCATCACACGACGCAATATAGAACTTGGAAAATGACGCAAATCATATTCATATTAAACATTTTGAATTTTCTTTTCGGTTTTCCAACAAGAAATGTTTGAGCCCACACACAAGCAAATTACTCTGAGTTTCGAGTTGTTGTTAAAAATGACTAATATCAATACAACCTTGTATGACTCATACGCTGTGAGTTAGATGAAATCTTTTCCGTTGTGAAGTATATTGAACTGCACACTGCTGTATCATATTCTTTAATAATTAATAAGGTCACAAAAAGTAATACAATAGCAACGAGTAGTTTCGATCTACAGAATGGATTTATTTATTATAATAGTGATTCTTTTTATATTTAAAAATATATTCATAAGTAGTTAATATAAGCTTAACTAATACAATCACTGTCCTCTGCGTCACGCTGTTGATAATTTTCTGAAACATGAGTATGATTAAAACTCCGCATTGATAAAATAATTTGAAATTAGCATACACAGACTGTGGCTGAGAGCACAATCATGAGATAAACATTGCTTTTTTTCATTAAACAATCTCTATTATTTTCTTTACTGTTTACTTATTTCTCGAAATATTTATGACTAAGGCGCTGTAATATGATAAAGTTATAATCTAGTTGAGATATGTCAACTAGATGATTATGTCGCTCCTAATTTCTCTAATCTGTAGTTTGATGATCGCCATTGCACATGTGATTTTCGTTTGGAGAAAACTCAATGTACCGATTGAAAATGCCTTAAGACGAGAGGCATGGATATATATTTGAATTGAACCTATTCTTGTTTTGTTTATCTAACATCGCATTCGTGCAGCGAAGGCATTAAGCTATGGTTAAGAGGAATTGAAAACTAGTCAGACAATAGCTTCCAGCGTCTCTTCAAGCTGTTATAACAATGGCAAAGTATATTCACGTGCTTCTCTGAAGAAAATATTTTACCGTAATAAACTATGAGAAAACTCTTTGCTCACTATCAGCAATTTTGATTGTCTTACATGTATCAAGTACTTTAGTGTGAAAACTATAAAACGTAAACATGTTTTTATTCTGTCATTTTTGAATAATTAGATACTCTACTTTACAGTTTATCTTTTTACAATCAATATAAAATAATGCAATGAAAAATGATAGTCATCACCATACAGTTATCAAAAATTGATTCTTGGGTGCTAGAAATATGAATCTCTAGTCGATGGACAGTCGCAACACTGGTTGAGAAGACTGTGCATTTTGATCGTTGGATTGTTCCTACAGTCAACGTCGACTTGGAAAATTGTCGGGTTTTCTCTAATTATTTTGAGTCCGTCTTACTTGAAGTGATGACACCTCGTTCACGCACTCTTGACGTCATGTACAAAATGAAAAAAGAAAAAGTAAAACATGACTGGTCAATGGAAATGACTTTTTTTGTGTTTTATGTTTAAAGTCAACTCAGCACGTGGTATCGTCAACACATACAAGAAACCGCGTAGTTTCATATGTGTTGCTCATAAAACTGAACAAGTAAAACTTTGCAATTGGATGAAGAGATTTGCTACTGAAATCCATAACTATTCTTGTGCCATTCAACTCTTGTATATCGAACAATTTAATATTGCATAGACATTACATTTTTAAGTGATATATTAACAATTATGAGAGGGAAAGAACATTCGATTTTCATCATTTTATGATATAAACACGTGTGCATTATTACAAACTGAATTTTAAATTCGTTCATCCGTCTGAGTAATCAGCATGCACGTGGCGAGTCGAAATCGAGAAACAATCGAAGAATATGTCTTGATAGCAGATCAGCTTTGTTCTTATGATTATTTATTTTTCTGTAGTGTGATCAAATTTTTCACAGTGTTTCTGTTGATTGTATCACAACACGGTCACGAGTTACAAGCGAAAAAATTGTTGGTTTTTCAGTCATAGAAAAATTCTTTGAAACATATTGTCTATTGTAGTTTTTAATGCTTGTGGCACGGCAGGTCTATCTACTCTTCGAAGGTCTCTGTTTGAAGTTTTTTCAATCTAAGTAGTGATTGGCTCATCATAAATGAGGATCTCTGTCTTTTGTTAGTATTTCGCTGAAGTTTTATGGCTCAGTGTTTAATTTATGATCAAAAGATTCGTATTAGCGTCGCGATATGCGGAAGCGAAGCGCTCCCTGAAGAGCCGTAACCCATGCGCGTCTCTATATACACAAGAATTCAAGTGTTTCAAGTTTGGGCCAAATAATATAATAGTTGAATATTTGAATATCTAAACTTGAACTATTCAATAACTGCATTCAACTTTTAGGTTTGACACTACTGTATTTATTTTTTTTAAAAAAGATATTTGAGAATTCTTTATAATCAATATTTACATTAGTCTGATTTACGTACATATTTTTGTACCTTGATTTTTCAAATGCCTTCACAGTCCATGTCAAACGATAATGATGAATAAGACACCAAATAGAAATGTCTTAGTCATACTATGTACAATAATTCTATTTCATTTTTCGTAATTGCTTAGTGATTTGAGAATCAGAGACACAATATTCATTCAGAAAGGATCAAGTCGAAGTTTCTATTCTTCGACTATTAAATTCACTGTGATTGTGTTTCAAGCATTATTAGAAATTTGAACGAAACGAATGAATTACTTATTTTTAAATATCCTTGTTTTCGAAACTGTTATTCGAGCACGATTTGAAACTGACTGTTATATATATATAATGTAACGAAAAAGATATGTTATTTTTTATTCATTCGATCGAATTTGAAATCAACGTCCTTGGATTATATTTTTTTTTCTCCCTTATTTGAACTTCTCTCTCAATCATCGATGTCATAATCAATAAAAGAAGCATACAAGTAAGGGCAACCAAATATTTTTGAAGAAATCCCACATGTAAATAAGAAAAGCTTCTCTTGGATTCTTCATGGAGTACGTGCCGTAGATATAAATCTTTTCTTTATCCTTCTTTTTTGTATGTAAGTTCAGCATTTGTTCATTGTGTATAGATGTAAAAACAAGGGCTTTAACACCCAAAAAAGACTCGAATGTATTTTCGTTGATATTTATTAAAGAAAAAAAGAGATATTAGTTCAGTTTGTGCACTCAAAATTAATATTAACCGGTTTCAGATAAATAAAAAAGGCTATTCAGTTAATTTTTTTGCAGATTTGTAACATTTTTCACTCACTGGGAACAAGTTCTCCATCGGTATTTGCGATGAAATTTGAGAGATTGATTTGGGCTGGAACCTCATTGCCATCAATGCCATTTGCCATACAACTAAGTATTGTGCCATGTAAACGAATTTGACTGCATGATGCAGCAAAATTTCCACCAGATCTGGGAACTAATTTTCCGTTAATGTTGGCAATGCATGAGTTAAGATCGAGTGTTGCATGCGAATCCGTTGTACCATCAGCCTGTTTACAAGTAGCTCTCAATATAGTTCCATTAAGACTAATATCTCGGCTTGAACGATCAAAACCACTCATAATGCTTGTTTCGCAAGAACAATGTACACCACTTGTATTTCAGTTAGTGAATACAAGAAATATGCTTGTGTGATGCAAGTTGTTTATAGGGGTTCGTATGCAATCATTTCATAAATCAAAGTTGATGCTTTGTTATTTATTCAAGATGTGGGCATGGCAGGAATAAAAATGATTACGTGATGTCAGCCGTTACTTCTTTTCGTTCTTCGATTATAAGCATACTGCAGTGTGCTCGATGCTTATGTACTTATCAATAGAAAAAGCTACATTTGAATTTCTTTCTTTTTAAATAACTACTAGAAACCAATATAAATTGAGAAATTGAGTATGTTTTATTATAAAGCACGACAAATATCAGGACTATGTCGTTGAGAATTGTCTATTCTTAAAATACAGTTGGAAGTAGATTATTATCAGGCATAAAGCTATGCAGATCGTAAAAAACAATAAAACCAATAAAAAAAAGAAATTATCTGCTCTTTTATAAAACATCCTTAAATGAAAATATATTTGACTATCAGAGGATATTCATCAGACTTATTTTCTCTCATGCTCAATTACATATTATGATTCTAAGGCATTTTTATGTGCATTTTGCAAGATTATTTTTGATTTTTATATAAAACTAATTAATGCTTAGCAGAAAAATTTAGATGAACTATTACAACGAAACTAATAGTAGCGTTTAATTAATTTTGGACTGTCAATAAATTTATGCCAGATGAATAACTAATGCAATTCCATCGAACTTGGCCTCTCAAACACAGCAGGAGACATCACTCATTTATATCATCGAAAGCAACAAGCCAATTGCCATTGAAAGTATCATTTTAGTCCTAGTTATGGATAAAATGATCATAAAATTGGTCTTCTTCAATCCCTAACAATACCTACTTGATCAATTGAAAAGAAAGCAATTTAGGTCATTCACTCCTTTCTCTGATTTTCGAGTACGACATTGAAAAAAGTACTAATTTTATCAAGTATAGTTAGCTATCTTTGAACTTGTTTCAGTCGTGCCGACAAGATTTCCTCTTTGCAATGTCGATATCAATCTGACTCCAATATTTTCTCTGATTTTCGATTAGATGAGCGAAGATTTCTTGCCCTAAATTATCGTAAACAGCAACTCAGCACCATCCGTATAAGGACATCTCTTCAAACTTTGATTGCTTTTGTTTAACTCAAGTTTTCACACTAGATGACATTCAAAACCTGCCCAATAACTAATAACTCTACTACAAACAAACTTCATGTACATAAAACAACACTCTAAAGTAGCATATAGATGGTTCAATATAATCCAATATGAATAATAAAGTATAACATCAAGAGCAAATCTATGATATTGACATAATTTCTATTCTACAAAACTTTTTGAGTCTTTCTATTCCAAATCATTACGAGAAAGTGTTAAGAACAGTGTGACAAAGCCTGCAAAATCCATGTATTTTCATATTCATGTCAACTACTATTACCAAATATTTCAAATAGGTCATCTTGTTCAATTTGATCAAAAATAGTGCAATCATTATTCCATGATTCAACAGAAAATTCATGGTAAGGTGTAATTTGTAAATATTTTGGTGTTGATGGATCATATTTTTGCCATCGTTTCAATGGTTCTCCTTTTGTAGCCATATTAATCCAATATGGAATAATTTTATTTGAATATATTCGTGTTTGATTATTCCAGGTACTGTTAATTGGATTCATCGACCTGTAATCACTTTCAGTTCCAAATATTCATGAAAGTTCTGATGCATGAAGACATAGGCCAGCACCTTCTTCTTTTGATAATATAGGACATATTCCTAGATTACAATTCATATTATACCAAAATAAATTATGTTGTTCTAGATAATATTTTATATATATATATATTATTATATAGACGGCCAATACCACAACCAATAAAATTATTTTCGTATTGCAAAAGCTCGTGGTGAGTTTGTTGGCCGAGTTCAAATTCAATAAGTCAAATTGAATTCTGATAGTTATTCTTATATAACAACTCGAAATATCTATGTACCATTTGACCGTTTCGATGGTTCGAATCCGATAATTATTCCAACATCACCAGGCAATGGTATATTTATCTATCGATTAAATGGAAGTTTTCTGTATCCAAATGCTATTATTATATGGAACGTTTGATTGAACAAATCTTTCGTGAAACTAAACCAGAAAAAATAAATCTATATGGTTCACTCGGTGAACAACCATGGAATTTAAAGATCAGTCGTCATCCAGAAAAAGATCTGCGAAAAGATGATCAAAGTCCACTTTTACATGCTTTAATTTTACATTTCACTGGTATTACTCATTTGGATATAATTGGTTTGCAAAATCTTGTTGATGTTCGTGCACAATTAGATCGATATACAGTTAAAAAAAATTAATTGGCATTTTGTTGGCTTGTCAAATCCTTGGATGAAACGTGCACTCATTTCAGCTGGATTCGTGTCATCTGATCAATGCCATACAGTTTTTCTTCTGTAGCAAACGTACATATCACTCTCGATCGTGGTGAAAACAATTCAGATGTTATTCTTGTTTCTATTCTTGATATCAATCGACCACTTTTTCATGCAGATCTCGATGAAGCATGTGAAGTAGCTATGACCACTTTAGTTCAACAAGAAACATTTGTTATTTCTCGTGATGACACAGCATAATTCAATATGTTCTTCTTTTTCTTGGATCTATTCATGGACATATTAGGAATAGGATGATTTCACATTTTCAATTAATTTTGTAGAACTCACCTATATTTTCGAAAAGAAAATAGTGAATGTTAGTTTTAAGTCGAAGATTTCTATTACTCCTCCCCCCCTTCTCTTTTCTGTGCAGACCTTAGTAATCAAGGATCACCAACATCAAAATCCTTTCCCAGAGATTCAGAATATTCCAAAGTCTTTCTCGACATTTGAAGCAATTGAATATGCTTGTAAATGTTTTAAATAGTGTTGCTTTTGATTTTTCTGCAAACAAAATTTATATGTAAAATGTCAACGATGATAGGTATTGATGCACTGATTTCCCACAGTTATCATTGAATCATCATCAAAAGCGTGAATTGATCGAATTATGACTTTGAAAAACTAATCAATATTAGTTTTTTGTGAATTGATTGTGATATATATAATAGCGTGTTAATACCTGCTGCTATACGAGTGAATAGCAACTATGCGAACAAAAAATAGGGCGCCCGTAAAAAATAAAGGTCTGGTCGAAATGGAAAAATAAAAAAGAGGGATTCTTACTCTTGGATGTGACCAATGTTCGTACATTTTTTTACGATCCAGTCTAAATGAGTATTGCAGGAAGCTGGGGTTGTGAGTTCTCGGCAAGGGTCTGTGTGATTGTCAAGTGGGTTCATGCTGTGAAGTTGTTGGTGTGAATGAGACGTATAATTGTGGACTTCATTTGTGATTATAGACACACAGTTACATTCACAACCACAATCTTCTCTAATGACAAATGCATTTTCCAATGTCGAGCACCAACTTTAAATAAAAATCATCTTTCTTAGTTTCTTTGCGTTTGCTTTATTCAAAATCGCTTGAAATAGCTCATTACCAGAAAAAAAATACACTGACTATAAGACATAATCATCAAAAATACATAAGTGATTCGAAATAACATAAGTTGATCTGATGGATCACTATGAAAAAGAGAAAAAAAAAACCAACGTTTTATGTTTGATGAATCGCTCATATGTTGGTAATGAATTCATTTTTTAATAAATCATCAAGATTAAATATTAACTGTGGTTCACTATTGTCTTTTGGATTATTTCGGTAGATGCTAAGCTGACGAGTATGAAAGTTAAAATGAGCCGTGCAAAGTGTTGCCAAATTGATCTCGGTGGTTCCACCTATGAAGAAGATCGGATACTTTTCATCGACTCTATCGCCCAATAGATATAGTGCATCTTTAACAGTATGTATTTCACCGATTTCAAGTGCACGTCGAGCACGATATCGACTCCATAGAAGTGGTTCTCGTTCGACAATTGATCCGTCAGATCGTTCATAGTGATTGAAATGATTAAGATAGTTTAAAGCAACACATATTGTACCTGAAACCAATAACCTATAATGTTATTCTTAATAGACACAATCTTAATATTACCATTTATTTCTTGGTGTTGACGATATTGTTCATTATTTAGAACGAGACACTTGCTAACGAAATTTTTTTCGCTATTCAATTTCGGCCCTAGTTCATAATTGATCAAATGACATGCATCTTGACTGTGCACACGAAAGAATGCACCATTGATACAAAACGCATAAGCAACGGATACTGTATGAATTAGTTCATCTAATTGATTCTCATCGACGATTGACAGTAAAGCTCTATTGAAGATTACTCTTGGAATACAATTTTGTCGGACAAAATTTGGATACAAAGCATTCAAAGCATAAGCAAACCCATGCATGTTTGCACCAAATGCAATACCTGAAACATGAAAGAGATAATGAAGATGCCTATTTTACATCAATAATTCAAGAATTAAAATGAGAAAAAATAATGTAACACATTATGACATTTTTTCCTTTGTATAATTTTCTTCAAGAGAAAACAAAGGAATATCTTACCTGGAATGACACCAGCATAACAATAGGCAATAAATCTTTCGTTCGGACTATGTCTACTACCATTGTCATATGGACTCGATTTGATATCAGCTTCGATGAGATAACCAGTATCATAGAGCCCGGCCGTGTTGTCTTCATTATGTACTAATGAAAGAGTATTTGTATCAAGTCGATTGATAAGTACTGTACTGCAGCCTTTGGCACCACTCTCTTCGTCTTCTTGTTGATGATTCATCTGCTCTGCTTCATAAAGACGATAAGCCGTTTGCGTTTCATTTTCGAAATTAAGCACAAGTAGTTGTTCCAATGGAATTTCGGAACCATCGGCCAGACCAAGAATTTCATCCCAATACCATGGAAACGTCTTGCGAATAATTTCAATGAAACCTTGATGCAATTTGAGACCATCTATCGTTCGAACGAAATTAAACATTGGTGTCAAATAAAGTCGATCATTTTCGATACGTTTTTTTATTAGTTCTCGACATGCAATGCCAATGTCTCGGGCACATTTATAATGGGTACCACGTACACGATACAACCGAATATCATTTGATGTCATTGCACGTCGATATTTCAATTTTTTTTTAACAGCTAGACAAATACAAAGAAGAAAGTATGCGAGTTACGAATCACTTTATCTTATATGGGCAAGGGAAGATAAAGTGGTATTACTTCTATAATATGAGTGTATGTTTTCATTCACATGCACATGTTATATAATATATTGATTACGTAAACGAATCGAAACTTCGTATAAAAAAAAATAATTTTCTTGAATAAGCAAGAGTTTCCTGTGACAAAAACCACTAATTCGTTGTAACAATTTCAATCAATATTCACACGTTAGTATAAATGATTGCATTAAAAATCTATAGAGAGAAAGATGAAGATGCTGACTCAAACTTGTTGTAAAGCTGAAAAATGACGACGAGAAAGAAATGATGGTGATCAAACGCGATCGAATTGTTTGCATCTGTGCATACTTAATGCATGTTTGCTTAAGAGACTAACTTGACTAAGTATCGAAAAAAAAAATCAATGTTTCTTCTTAAAAATCGTTGGTGTCGGTTTGGATGTAACTGTGGCTGAGGGGACAAACCTCACTCTCACACTTCAGGGTGAATACTGTGTCTTAACAAGTGTTTGAATCCTTTCCAAAGCGGTGACGTCTTGTACTGCTCGCTTAAGAAATATGAGTTTAATTTTTATTTTGCTTAAATGTTAAGATATATTCTCGAACTTTTAACAATGATGAGAGTTAATTGACTATGTTAGTTTTGAAAATAGAATTTTCATCGAATGAGAATTTGTCATTCAAACATATTTACTAGTTGTTCAAACAATAGATATAAGTTATATTTATAGAATGATTTAAGTAATACGTTTGATAACTGAGTTTTTATTGGAATATAACTTTGATTTTCTTTTGTGGTTTATCTCGACATATGAATATCTTGTACTAGAATAATTGATTAAAAATTGACAGTCTTTATGGAATTGTTCTACTGACATACACTGATTACAGTGTTCCGTTGTTCGGAGATTTGTCAGTGCGAAAATATACTAATGACGTTGGTTGCTTTTTTTAAAATGGTTTAACTGATATATCCTCTCACTCTGTTCTATATCTCTCTAGTAGGTAGTGCCATTACACTTTCTTATTTTCATATGGCTCATATCAACAACAGAAAATGTGGCATGGTTGTAAAAGAAAAATCGTATCTATTTTGATCTCTAACTGAAACTATTATCAAAGCTATCGTTCTCGAAAGTAACGAGAGCTCAATGTCTCGATCTTCCACGCTTGTCGCCATTTCATCCCAATCAATAGAACTGTCGAAATCCGAAATTGTTACTTTCTTTGATCAATTACGGTTACTAAAATCATTCGATAAGTTGTAGGTTTTCCTAATACAGTAAAAGAAAATCGTTCAGAGTACTAGACACAGAGATGTGCGCTCGGTAGTGCAGTAAAAATGTCGACATAGGTAAGATAAAGAACTACAGAATAAGAGAAATCTATCTTATTTCAAGTTATGATCGAAAATAATTATCTATATTTTAGTAATCAATAATAAAGTTCATCAGTGTCCATACTGTAAATGCGATGATAGGACCCGTCGTTATTATCAAGAAATGCGACTCTTCAGTCACCATTCATTTTGAACTTCTCTTGTTATGCTTTTTTTACTTACACTCTTGCCTATTACTACTATTATTCCTGTTTAACAGTACATTCAAGATCATCAACACAGCCTACTATTCATATTATGTGTACTGTTCGAACAGTTTGAAAATTCTACTTAACTCGTCTCATCAATGAACTTGAAATGTGGAGTACGAAAATAACATGTAGCCCTAGTTCACATTCAGTACGATCTCTATGTTGTCAAAGGGTTCATGACATTTGTTCTCTATCATCGTTATGCATCGCATTACGATTGCTCTCATCATTTCAACGATGATTCTCATCGTCCATATAATATTGGGCGTAATTCATAGAATAGTATACCCAAAACAAGGAAAGATACTTATCCATATCATTTTTGGTTTGCGATATTCAGTGCTGGAGTTTGTCGATCAAAACATACTGTTGATTTCCTAGAACCTCGCACACGTAGTGCTTCACACTTTGTTAATAGGTGTATTCGTGCATTTGATTTCGGTGACATTTATCTTGGCTTTCTCATTAGTAATTATCTCACTGTGTCATTGACGAAAAATCATCGCTTACATTCTCATCTAGAACGTTCTCTAGTCGAGGACAATCAATGCTTTATATAAGATATTCCATCAAAAAATTACATTCGGATTTTTTTCTCGGTGTCGCTTTCTCAACAGTCACTGATGTAGTAACAACAGGAGGAACAAATTCAAGCGTGAAAAAGTGATGGAGTTGATTTCGGTGCAATATCAGAATGCTCTTAGTAGTGTTACCAATGTTGTTAACTGAGTATGTATGCACTATTTCGTTGGCAGAGGTAAGTTTTCGTTAAAATAACAACCTATTTAGTTGATGCGTTCAGTGAAGGTGCTGTAAAAGCTCACATCCTAGTTTGATCATTTTTTTGTGTCACTCACAGTGACAGGAACAACACACTACAGAATCCAAACTTCTGTAAATTATCTCATGACTTACTCTTATGCTATAAACTTAAAAGTGTACATACTAGATTCCATGATCTTGCCACCGTTTCCAACATTCATATTCAACTACTTATATCGAGGACATTTCGATGATGGTAATACTGTTAATCATAATTATAAAAAAAGTGATAACTTAATGAAGCAAATGTATGCATAGGTGTTCGACAATTACTCATGAAAGTTGGAAAAGATATATGACCAAGCTGTTATAGAACAACGGAATCCAAGTAACGAAGAAAAGTCGATAAGTGTGAAGAACGTCTAAGATGAAATCGAAGGATGTTGGTGTAGGTGTGGGCGTGGATGGAGTGTGTGAGTGTGCTCTTCTCTTCAGCGACATCCATCCACACTCACACCTATTGGAAAAACTTGGTAAATATTTCTTCCTGTGCTTGGAATAATATTTACTTTTTATTCATTTTTCTTTCTAGATTCATCTACAATCACTTTTACAACAGAATCATCATCTAAACTATTCACAATAGAAACGTCTACACCTATAAATCAAATATTATATGTTCCTTCATTTCAAACTATGCGTTTACCTATAGACTTTGATATTGTTGCACCTACTGGTTCATTAGTTCGTAATTTATTAACCACAGTTGGTGGTAGTATGGCATAATTTGATCTTCCTCCTAGTATGACATCGAATGCTGTTGAACATCGAACTATTTATGAAATATGGATTTTCTATGTAGTCAAAGTGAATGTAGATGGAAACAAAAAGAAAGAGAAGAAATTGTAACAGTTGATGCTAATGTATGTATTACCATATCGGTCGGTAGATAACTTCAATTTCGTACAATATGACACAAACCACTCGTAACAGTAGCAATTACAATGCCACTATGACCAGGACATGATGAAGCAATGTAGAGAGCTGGTATTTGGAATGCAAGTTTTATTTAAATTGGAAACCCATTGATAAAGTTATCTAACTCAATCTATCGATGGCTTATCATTGTGACTTTCTTCTCCGTAAATATAATCTAACTTAAAGACATAGATCTGCATTTTTGATTAATATTATATGAGATATTTTTTATGATTTGTAATAAAAAAAGATACATAAACTGTCAATGTTTACTTTTTACTTTTATCCAGTCATACTATGTCGATGTAAATAATAGAACAATGTGTATATGTTTTTTTTTCAACTACTTCTTGCTTTCGAGGGAAGGTCCCCAACTGGTCTATTGCTTGTAAGTCGAGACTTTGTGCATTATGTAGGTTCTAATAAGCTATCAATAACCTGAAAAGAGTTCAAGCTGATGGTGTATGACTGCCGAGATAGTGCATTTTTACGGTATATTTAATGAAAGTTTCAGATGTTTTGATTGTTCCTACTCTGAAATAAGAAACTCAGAATCTGTTTCTTTATGAGTGATGTACAAGTATGTTTTTACCATAACTGTATCTTACGATAAAACCAATCAGAAGGTCTGAAACTTTCACAATAAACAATTCTTGTTGAGATCTGTCACTATGCAAAATTTCAAATCGATATTCCAAACTCTGTTTTTTCTGATGCTTCTGAGGGAGATCACAGCATTGTACTTAAATATACTGTAAAAATGCACTACCTCGGTAGCAATAATCTATCAGTCTGAACTCATTCCAGGATATTGATAGCTCCTTAGAACCTACATACTGTACATAGTCCCGACATAAAAGCAATGGACCACTTCAGGATCTGCCCTCGTGAGTCAAGTAATAAGCACTGGTAATGTCGAAGAGGTGCTGGTAGTAGCGACCAATATAAAAGGTTATTGTAATTTGATAACTGTACCATTCGCGCCTAGTTGAATATGACTACAAGTATGCGTTGTACGAGCATAATTATATTCATTTTCTTCTGACTAAATCACTAAAATGAAGACAGGTTGATGTCCAGAAAGATTTAGTTTTCATCATTTATCGATGCTGGTCGACTAGTTAAACAAAACCAAAAATTCGAATAATATTCATTTCAGATGTTTTTGATTAGTTTTTATTGTAACCGAGACCTATCGCAGATGTACCAACATCATTGTGTAGAATTTTATAAATTACATCCTTTGCTACTTAAGTCAGGACGCATTCACCTCTGTTTGAGACAAATACTTTGATATTTATTTTCAACAATAGAAGTTAGTTTTATTTCTATCAACTGTAGATGAGAAACAGATGAACATTCGTTATTGAGTACATCATCATAACATCTTCTCCGAGAAGGCATCGAAAACAGAAAAAGAAAACAGTTTTCTATGATAATTCCCAATGATACTCAATGAACTAGAACGTGTCATTTGTTATATTCTATATCCGATTCACTTCACTGTTGTACAAGATCATTTGATTTATAGAGTGTGTTGTGTAAGAAGTAGTCATATCGTATTGTAACTATATCATTTGTGAATATTCTCATAGATTCACGAAAAATTAAATTTATTCCGTTCGAATTTTAGGCAAATATATATTTTAGATCTGAGAGAAGAGTAAAGTCTCTTCAATCCCTTTAGGTTCTTTTAGTCCTTTTAGTTCCATTAGTTCCTTTCGATCCCTTTAGCTCCTTGTTCAGTATATTTTGCTCTTCCAAAGGTACGGGTATCGAGATGTACAAACAGAACAGCCATATTAATGTAGTATATTATGCTCAGAAGAGTTTTATGTGGTTTTATTCACTCTCAAGATCTTTCATTGATGACTTGAGAAAAAGGAATTTATTGTCATATTTGCATTTCGTTAAAAAAACTGTTCGATCATATAATATTTACTAATCTTTATTCTTCTGTCTTTCAAGGAGTTGACTTTATACTGCCACAATACTCAGTGTTTGGGTACAAGTATGCTTGTGAACTGTTCCTTCATCATCACTCACGCCCTCATCCTGAAACTGAAAAAAAAA